TACTACTACTACTACTACTACTACGACTACGACTACGACTACGACTACGACTACCACTACCACTACCACTACCACTACCACTACGACTACTACTACTGCTGCTGCTGCTGCTGTTGCTACTGCTACTGCTACTGCTACTGCTACTACTATTACATTTGCTACTGCTGCCACCACCACCACCAGCACCACCACTGCTGCTACACTGACACTGCCGATGCTGTCAAAACGGGAAATGAAGGGTGATCAGGTTTGGGGTGGGTTGCTACCCAACCCCGCTGCTCTCTATATTTCGGTCGCAATTCTGTGCGGAAACAGGAGCGCGCGATTTACCATCAACCTGCTGATTGCCATGATTTTTGGTACAATCTCGCCTCTGATGTGTCTCCACTGCACTTAGTCAGCTCAAAACAGGTTTCTGCTTGATAGAAGTTGTTCTCGCAGCACCACCTTTGATGTATCAGGTCCCTTCTGGCGTGGCTCAATTTCTACCTTTGCACAGCACTCAGCCGGGTTCCGGTGTGCTATTGCCCGTGGTAATCATGACTTGCAGCAGCACGGGAGAAGCCCAGTGATAATAGGGTCCCCTCAAAACATCTTGGCATCACAGCTTAATGTCGAGTTTGTGGCTAGCTGCAGCCGCAGTTGAGTCGCCGCAGCCTGAGGTCGCATTATATATGGGTACCTGTTCGTCTATGCAGATTCTTGGCAGTGGAAGTCTTGCTGGGTGTCTTGGCACTTCTCGCACAATCAATGGGACATGAGACAAGAAGCTCCCTCTTGGTTTGGAAAAATCTTGTCAGTCTGTGGCCGCGTGGCGGCCCGAAGTGACAGACAGCGAAAAGGCAAGCAAGCAACGGATACCGCGGCTACGAGACTTACCAGCACCACCACCACTACTACACCACCACGGCGACGACTACTACTACCACGAATACTACCACTGCTACGATTACTGCTGCTGCTGCTGCTACTACTACTACTACTACTACTACTACCACCACTACTACCACTCGACTACTACTAGTTGTGGCACTAGTACTATCTCTAGTGCTGGTAATTACTGGTATTATCGTACCAGAACTAGTACTAGTACCATTACCAGTGCTAGTACCACTGCAAGTGCCAGAACCAGTCTACTAATTACTACAGCTATTGCTCCTGCTCGTGCTCCTGCTACTACTCCTCTGGCTTTGGCGGCTTCGGGCTCTAAGTTAGAAGGCATCCCGGCACTGGGAGTGTTACCCCGACTCATAGTTTGAGTCAACCCGGGAATCTCAGCTCACTGGGTTCTTCTGGTGGCCTGAGGAGTCGAAAAAGTCAGACTCGGGCGGTTACTTCTTCATCTCACAGCTCCACCATGTGCGGCTCAGCATGGGAAACAGCTTCGGTTTTAATGCAAGTTCTTGAAATGCTTTCGGGATGAAGCGGGTCTACGACTTCGTGCTAGTTTCGTTGCAGCCCATCTTCTGGCCCTGCGGGGCATCGCTGTCGAAATTGAATGGGAACCTCCCAGCCTTTCCTGTGCAAGTGGCGCTGCTATCAGGTAAAAGTATCTTTTGGAGACGGCCAGCACCTGTAAGGTACGCAGGGCTGATCTTCTATTCATTGCTGATGATCGGCATGTTCCTGGACCGGGAGGGGTGAGAGACAGAGTGGCTATTGGCACTTCGAAGTCTGCTTTGTGGCTGCCTTGCATTTTCGAAAACAGCGCAGATGAGCTGACTCGGCATCTCATCGCTGTGAACTCTGGAAGGCAAAGGTTGACTTCCTCTTTCACGTCCTTTCATAGGCTTGATTCACAAAACGTGCCACCAGCATTCAAGGATTTGCTCGATGCACCGCCGACATGTTTTAGGCGACCTCCACGACGAACCCTGGACCTTTGTTGCGGTGACTTTCCTGCGTCTCCTCGACTCCTTTAAAGTCGACTGAAATTTCGGTGGCTGAACGGCAAGACGGGGCTCCATGCTGGACCGGGCCGAAGTGCAGAACCTCAGCCCTAAACTCCCAAACCTTCATCCCCAAAACACCCCCCCAAAGCGGGTACTGTCACCGTAAATCCTCAAGACAGTGCGTCTCCAGGGCCGGGCCCCGAACTACGTCCCGGCCGGCTTCGGCATCGCAGCGTGCCACGGCTAGCAATGTGAGCGCCCAGGGTTTCGATGTCGGAAACAGCACGGTGCAGCCTGCTTGTTCTACTCTCGTTAGGATGTATGACGGTAATTGCACAGGGCCACTTGTGCACATGAAGACTGCGCCATGCTTCCAGAGTGTCAGGGCTTGGGACCCGGAAGTTTGCACAGTGAACCAGCGAGGTGTATGTCCCCTACTGTAGCCCGCTTGGGAAAATAAAGCGGGCTTGGGGATTGTTTTTTCCAGTCCTGTGGCCATGGGCAGGCTTCGTTCCAGTGCAAGACCCGGGTTCGTTGTGACTCTTCGTGGCTTTTACAAGTTCGTTGTTGTTGGTGAATTGGGGTTGGCATAGAAAGTGTTCAAGATGGAGGGGTAGAGAACAACCATACGGCTTCGATCCGTAAACATCTGATTGGTGATTCGATGTTCGTCTCGGCTAAGAGGCACAGGCCACACACGGCCCTGAGTCCTTCCCAGATTCGAGGCTGATTTATGCCTTGGTGTCCTACCGCGCCGTGATGGACTTTGAATGGGAAAGTCTACCTTGGGAGGCAGGGGGGAGAGAGGCTGCCTACGTCCATAGAGTCGTAGCAAACGGGGTGCGGCCATGAGTCTTCACAAGGCTAAGACAGAACCCACAACCGCCAAGCTGGTTGGGCACTTGGACCCTTCCATTCCCGGCACAAGCAACGGCGCGAAGGCACACATTCTTTGCAAGTGCACGGCTTGGCTAGTCGTTGGTTTGGGGCGACATTCTGGCCGGGATCATGCTTGTCCGTCGTGAGGAGATCGCCCCAGATGCGGACGGGAATGACTATGTGCCGGAGGTTCCGACTGCTACAATAGCTGTGAACAAGCCCAGAATGCACTGCTTAATGGAGCTTCGAGGATGATCATCTTCGGATGTTTCATGCCGTTTAGGGATGGTGCGAAGAGGAAGCTGCGCCGGTTTGGGAGGTTTAGTCCTTGAGTGTGGAAGTTGAGCTAGGCGATCTGGGTTCTAAGAAGTGTTACGCAAAGAAAGGCATATGAGGCTCCAGGTCAGCCCGTTAAAGGAGCTGTGACCTGGACACAAGTGTCTCAACAAGTTCTGAAGACTGACGGCGGGGTGTAACGCTTTGCCTGGCCTTCCTGAGTCCTCTTGCGTGGCCAACGGGATTGAATGATCGTAAGATGAAAACTAAGACGAGGACCGGCATGATATCTATCGCGTGCCTGACGGCCGGTATCGTGAGCATGAAAATCACCGCTTGGGCCCTCCGCTTTTCGAAGACTGCCGGGCAAGGCGGCTTGAACCTGCCTCTTCCTTCCAGCCCGAGCAGGGAAGGAAGCTACAGTATGTTGAAGAGCAGCAGAATTAACTCCTGCTGCATTCCTTGGAGGATTCGGGGGACAGCTACGTGCAGCCAGAACTGGAGAAGGCAGCATGCTTCGCTTGCGCGCACCGAGTCTTTTTGCACATTCCCTTCCGGCGTTCATGCAAGTCTTTATGTATGCTCCTTGTGCAATGCTGCCATGTTCTGTCAGGACCTGGATGCGATTGTTAACCTTGGCGCTCAGGCGAAGAGTTGTGTTCTGGCCAGATGCTGTTGGGTGTGGCAGGTCGTTTGCGTTCTGGGGTTTTGCTAGGGTGTCGCCGGGACTTGCATCGGTCTCATGCTTTCGGGTCCATGTGGTATGAGTCAGACTTTGATTATTTTTACTAGTTTCATGGTTAACAACTTTGTTATCACTATACAATTTTGTCATCATATTTTTGGTATCAGTACCATTGAAATTATTACTCTTCTTCTGCTTATCATCGTGTGAGTTTGGTACAGGTAAACCGTTTGCCAGACTCTATGCCGGGGTTTTGGAAAATTTGTAGAAGCTCCCGGATCAGAAGAGGCACTTCAAAAATAGTGAAGGCGGTTGCATCAGCTATAGCAACTCTCACTTCACTCGTGTGCTGTCGGTATACTATCTTGAAGCCGGAAACCAGCAAAGCGGTTTGATTCTGGTTCCCACAAGGATGATGAAAGCCCCCGATGTAGAAAGTCCTGGATCGTTCTCAGAGCTGAGGAGCCGGCATTCTGAGAAAAAAAGTGGCACGTAGGCTTAGCGGTTGCTAGGGCTTCGCCTCACAGTAGAGGTGAGCGAGGTCCCTGCCTTCAGTTTCTTGAATCGGTGCATAGGCCGGAGGCAACACAGTCTGGGACTTCGACTTGCAAGTGACGCTGGGACTAGGCCCCACAGACATCCTCATAGCGTAACTTGGACATGATTGCCCCCTCAAGCTGCAGACGATGTTACCGTTTCATTGAATGCTGGCAGGGCCTCGCAAGAAAGCACCTGTTGCATCAACAACTTTGGGTGGAAACTACGGATCCCAGAGTCCCAGATTGTAGTTGTGCGACTGGAAGAGAGTTATAATTATCGGAGCAGGGTCAAAAGTGCCGCGTCTCAAGTGCAGGAAACTTATGAAGAGGGGCTTGGTGTGGCAGGCAAGTTCGCAGCCATACGTCTTGAGATCGAGAGCTGGTGAGTTGCCACTTGCTGGGCCGAACACTCGCTGTTGTCGAGTTTTGCCGAAAGTGATACTTGTTATTCCGCTCGCTGGCCCTGTGGAACTCGATGTAGAGCTGCAGGTGGTTATGCCTGCACCGTTCTAGCATGGAGCTCTTCTGTCGCAAGCTCGAGGATGTAACATTGGTAGTGTCATGCGTCGTCATGGTCGACTGAGCGCCTGTCTAGAGTCTATGGCCAAACAGTTCGGGATCGGAGGCATTGCAGGCACTTGTCACACTTCGAAGAACCAGAGCTCCATGGTCACAAACGCATCCTAGGGCAATGGCTGACTCCCCGGATGCTCAGATACTCCAGAAACTGCTCCAGCCGTCACCTGCCGCGGTGGCCTCGCATTTGGCAAGACAGGCTGCAAAGGCCGAGGTCCAGAGAGTACAGAGAGCACCCGGCACAGACACGGATCTATATGGCTGGGGATTGACCCATGAGAGTGCACAAGAGCTAATGCACGATCTCTTCGATGTGGTCGAGGAATTTCCAGATATGGTGGCCCAGCTCTGTCATGACTTAAAAAGGCTGGGCTACTTCTCAGGGTTCCCTCTGCCCGCAGAGCTCAAGGATAAGTTCTCCGGCATGGAAGTCATCAGCAAACGGGAGATCAAAGAAACGGCCATGGCTTTCTTAAGGCGTGGGACTGCAACAGACAGCACCGATGCATCTTCGCACGAAATTAGGCAGGTGGTACAGGATGAATCCAGCTCCTCGAGTAAGAGGAGGTCATCAAGCAAGCAGCGAGGTACAGCTGCCCAAAGCAATGGCAGCCGCAATAGTGACACCACGCTCGTGATGATGAATCTGCCGGTTGACTACAGTCATGAGAAGTCCCGAGGACTAGTGGATACCCTTGGCTTCCGTGACAAGTACGATGCCGTAATCTGGTTTCCAAGAAAGCAGATAGGCCAACAGAATCTTTCGCATGCCGTGGTGAACTTCAAGGCCCCAGAAGACTGCGTGGCTTTCCGAAGACGCATTAGAAAGGGTGGCATCAACCCCTCGGGAGAACCCCGGCTGGCTCGGAGGGGTTGCATTGTCTCAGGTTGCAGTTCTCAACAACGAATTTGGGTCTGGGTCGCGGGCTTCAAGGTTGTATCTTCGGTTCTGTTTCCTGGTCCGTGCCGAAAAGACAAGAAACTTCAAAAGACTCATCTTTGGTGCTTGCAGCGGTTGCTGGGAAGAGCTGGAATTTCACTAATACCATATAATAGAATGCTTCAAACAGACAGCAACATTCCGCAGTCTCATCAGTAAGGAAGTTCGCTAGTACCATATATTAGAATGCTTCAAACAGACAGCAACACTCCGCAGTCTCATCAGTAAG